CTAATCTGAATCGATTGGAATCATATTCACTGGTATCCATCTCCAACCAATTTTTAAATCTTTGGATCAATCCGCTGTCTTGAGAAACATAATGGAAGGGACACCTTCTTCTATTCTTTCCTACTATCCAATCTTGCCCCCTTTGCTTTTTCTTATAAACTACATAAGGAGATCTCAACCAAATACTCTCCATACGCATCCTTTTCCCTTTTTTATCTCGTTTTCCTTTTGCTTGCTCTTCCTGCTGTTCCGTCACAACTAACTGCTGTTGTTCAGTAGCAGGGGGGGAACTACAGCCATCGTGGCAGATGCTTGACCAATTCCCCTGCTGTTCACGACGTTCTTCTGTCTCTTCACGAACAACAACAGCAGCAGAATTACCTTCTGAATCAGCCCCTTGTGTACTACCAAGTGAAAATGAACATAAATTGAAGTTGGGGATATCACTGGTGTCACACATAGGAGAACTAGAAATCTTCTTTCTCTTAGGTTTTGGAAGCAGTTCCGATGCATCAGATGAGATCTGCAAAAGCAAGGAAAATATAAACATAAATAAAACTTATAGAGAACACATATTAGGCAAAAAGAAAAGCCAGTAATCGAATTGCAGAAAATAATTACCTGGTCTAAGTGTTGCGACACAGATGGTGTTTTCATTCCAACAGATCCTGTATCTTCATGCAAAAAATAATAATAATAATAATAAATAATACTTACTAAATTTTATAAAATAATACCAACACACTTCACACCTGTCTGTGAGTCAACAGGTGTGAATATATGTATTTCTCCTTTTTCATATTGCTGCAGAATCTCACCCAATTCTTTTCGACCTGCCTCCAGTAATTCTGAAAAATCATTCAAAAACATAAAAAAGAAAATAAAATATATAAAATTTCAAAATGTAAACAATATACTTCGATCAAATATAATAAATTCATGATCTATAGAATACTTTACGTTTGTCTTCCGTTGTGGTTTCCCCGGGCTGCATGCCTTTCTCAATATCAGCATTTCCAGCATCATTCAATTCTGAACCAACGTCGACGACCATTGCAGTATTCTCTGGAAGGTTTTTCTCAAATCTAACTTCATTCAATTGAGCATCACCAGAGAGTTTTTGAGTTGTGGCAATTGAACCATAACTAGTTTCAACTTCCACTGCATATTCATAAAAGAGGGGGAATAGATCAACTAGTTTTTCTATATATAAAACATAGAAAAAATTTATACTTGTAGTGAAAATTTCACTACATGATATTATAAAAAAATAGTTAAAACTTCAACTCTAAGAAGGCTGAAGTTAGCCAGTCACAAACAAAAACTTCAACAGTTACAAAAAAAAAAAATTCAGCTCTAGAGCTGAAGTTCGACAGTTATAAAAAAAACTTCAGCTCTAGAGCTGAAGTTCGACAGTTATAAAAAAAACTTCAGCTCTAGAGCTGAAGTTCGACAGTTATAAAAAAAAACTTCAGCTCTATAGCTAAAAGTTCACCAGTTACAAAACCAAAACATTCACCAACAAACATGCTTTGTACTTTGTACCTGTAGTAATAATTTCCTGTGTAGCACCACCTAGAAGTTCATTGCAAATCGCTATTACTCCTGCATACCGATCGTCTTTCAGATTTAAAGTACCAACAGGTGCTTGATCACTTTCCGAAGCACAACTCGGTGCATGTTTTTCAGTGCCAACAACTTGATCATCTGCACCTTTCTCTCCACCTTTACTCTCTCTACAAACATTGGATTGTTCCTCTCCGCCTTGTTGTTGAACAAGTTCAATGCCTTCAACAGCCGCTTCATTATGTGTAGCATTATCATCTGCGACTTTACGCAATGCATCATGAGCAGTATGTTCTTCAGTCTCAACAACTTGATTATGTGCACCTTCCTCGCTTCCAATATTCTCAGTTGATAAATGTGCTTCATCATTTACATATCTGCTCAATCTATCAGCACTGCAACGTTGCTCTTCAACTTGTTCTTGAACATTTTGATTGCCTTCAAAAGCCGATGGATCTTCGCAATAGTCATTCATCCTGTCATATTCTCGATCCATTCCATTTGATTTGTTGACAATCGTAAACAACTGTTCAAACTTCTCATCGAAATATTCCTAGAAAAAAAATTACTAACAATGATTAATCTGAAATAAAATCAGCACAAATAAAAAGACTTCTCTATAAATTAGCTTACCTTCACTTTTACAAAAACCGCATCCACAATAGCAGTTCGCTCCTCCTGTTTAAACTTATCAAAAACTTCGTTCACGATTGTGCTTCTTTCTTTTTCATTTTGCCTTTGAACCTCCGTCGTTAACCTCTACAATAGATACACAACAAAAATTCAGATATAGAAGAAAACTTCATCTCAAAAAACATGTTGTACTTTTACAAAAACAAACCCAAAAAACTTCAGATCAAAACTTACAGAGCATATTTTATCAAGTAATTCATCTTCATCAAAGTCAGATGTAGACGAGGTAGAACGACTCTTGGTACGAGATGCTTCGCCAATAAAAGGAGTTTGATTCGGTTCTTTTGGTTGATTCCGACTACGTGGTGAATCACCAATGTCATGAGTTTGATTCGCTTCTTTTGATCGACTCTTTGTAGGTGGTGATTTACCAATGACAGGAGTTTGATTCAATTCTTTTGATCGACTCAGAGTAAGTGGTGATTTACCAGTTGAAGGAACTGCATTAACTACATTTGAACGAATCCGGTTGCACGGTAATTTCCCAATTAAAGGCATTGAATTCAATTCCTCTTCTGTAGGAATTATATCCAATACCCTAAAGTCGCGATATCTCTGTTTAATACAAAAAAGTATATTATGAGAAGAAAAAAACTAATACATCAGCATATTAACACAAAGACAAAAATTAAAAAAAGTAACTTACTTCATGAATTTTGAACATATAATAAAGTTCGGGAAATTTAGGCTCTCTCATGCATACATAACGTAACATCCTGGGGACCTGAGGCATATCAAGGTACTCATCCTCTGCTACATACTTCTTCCGAACATCTGGGAAGCGCTCATAGAACCAAACACATAACGGATATGGAAATCCAGTAAGTTTATACTCAGTTGCATGATGTTTGTTCTGCTTGTCCAATGCATGTTTCAGTGAATAAATGAGCTTCTCATAAGCCACATTACCCCAAGGATATTCAGCACAAACCTTCTCGTCTTCAACGATAGATGCATACTCCTCATTCACACATGAATCGGTATTTTTCCCAAACAGAATAGACTCTACAATAAGAATTTTCATAAGCCTAACTGCATCATCATCACTCTCGCATACGTGTGCATGATTCACAGCATTCATTGGAATTACATTGCGAGTCATAAAACTTCGAATATCCTTCAGATACACACCCTTGGACTTACCAAAATAGCGTTTCAGAATAGTGCACTCTCGATTAAATGGTTTTTCAATATTATGTGTTGTGATCCGCAAACCACACATAATGTGAAAGTCTTCAAGGAAACATCATGCCCAAAAATCTTGAAACTAATGGAGTCTCGATCATTCGTGAATATTCGAGAAAGACACAGACAATGAACCAACTTCATGCTGCATTTGAAATTCTCCATAGCAATAATGTGTTTAAATGGACCATTACTGAGCTTATCCTGTTGTGCAGGAGTCAAGAAAGTTGCAATTAAACTCTTCAAATCATGGTTCCCCTCCCAGTAACCCTTAGAGTTAAATCATTCTGTAAACTCAAAATATTTTTGTCCTGGTCTTGTAGGTGGAGGCTCAGGGACATAAGGACCTGGGGCTACTACAGGTAGTCTAGGTTTTTTAGGTGCTTTGCCTTCTTTAGCTACTTTAGGATCTTTAGGTACTTTAGGAGCCATCTGTCCAAAAAAAGTAAAATATACAAATAATAACATCAGAACATTATCAAAAAGATCATTTAAAACTTCAACACCTAAAAAGGCTTAAGTTTGACAAGTATAAAACAAAAACTTCAGCTCTAGAGCTGAAGTTCGACAGGTATAAAACAAAAACTTCAGCTCCAGAGCTGAAGTTCGACATTTACAAAAAAAACTTCATCTCTAGAGCTGAAGTTCGACAGGTATAAAACAAAAACTTCAGCTCTAGAGCTGAAGTTCACCAGTAACAAACACAAAAACTTCATCTCCTAAAGCTGGACTTCACCAGTTACAAACACAAAAACTTCAGCTCCTAAAGATGGAATTCACCAGTTACAAACACAAAAACTTAATTCTGGTTCTCCATACAAGCACAAAACATTCAGCAAAAAAAAAAAAACAAAACACAAATTCAAATCCAAAAATAATGCCAAAACATGAAAAAAACTTCAGCTCCTATCTAAGGTATCATTATCATCTGTTTAACTCTGAAAATTTTTAAAAATTTCAACATCTAATTACAGAAGAATTTATAGAATTTTCATTAACAACATAAACACTCGTTCAGAAAACCTAAAAATACAAAAGTAAAAGTAAAACTAATGAACTTATCAAACTAAACCCTATCATAAATACATGACTATCAAAACCCAAAACCAGAAATTAAATCGTAAAATAAAACCCAGAAAGTTAATGCAATGTACCTGTGATTAAATCGTAATGTGGGAACAACGACGACTAGCAGTTGAAAATTCGAAACAACGACGAAAACCGTTTGATTTCAGAGAAGAGCAAATCAAAAAAACGCGAATAACGGGAGAGAGAGACAGAGACAGTAGAGGACTAGCGTATACTTGGAGAGAAAGTAGTCTTTTAATAAAGAAGGGCAAAATAGTCTTTTCAAATGGCTTTTAACAAAAAAAACGGGTACGGGTGCAAACAGAAAGGCAAAGCGGCTACAGGTTAAAAAGGGGCGCCCAAATAGGGCGCCCCGTGCAATTTTTACGAATAAAGCTGCCGAGATGTAATAAAAAGGCCCATAATAAATTGGCCCAAACCGATGTGGCCCAAAAGGAAAATGTACTCCTCACAACATTAACCAAAAATACAAGAACTGATGGGAAAGTGGGAGAGAATAGTTGAAAGCTTAGATTAAGAAGAAAATGGCGTGGAGAGCAAATCTATCTCGTAATCTGAAGGAGCTTCGCATCCTCTTTTCTCCATCCTCTGCTCAAAGTGCTGCCACGAGGTTTCTTCCCTTTTCTTTCGTTTTTTTATTCCTCTATTTCACTCCATTTTTTTTCTTCATTTTGTTTTGCTGATTCTCAAACGTAAGTTATTTTAATATTCCACAGGTCGTTTATTGAGAAAAACTACAGAGATCTCAAAACCCATAACCCCAAATTGCCCATTTTGATTCGTGAGGCCAATTCCATTGAGCCTCAGCTTTGGGCCAGATATGGTAATTCTCCTCGCCTTATTTTTCTTCTAATATTTGCTTTGTTGTTTTTGTTATTTTAATTCTTATTTGTGCTTAAAATGGGAAAATTGGAGTGGGTCTTTGAGTTCTTGGGGAAAAATTGAGTCTTTGACTTATTTGAATATGATTTGTATTATGCATTTCTCCTTGTTACATTGTTTTTTACTTTCAGTTGATCTAAGTAAGAGGAAAATTCTCTTAGTTTATGCATTTGTAAATATCAGTAAATTCCTGTTTGAGTTAAATTCATAAGTAGATGCGGATAAGTACTTGGTTAACATATGATCAGGTTAGGATATTGATGTTGAATTCAACACATGAAAAGTTTAACTTAGAAAGTTACTGACTTTAGGACATGTCGGGCATCATAAGGTACTCAAACTATACAACAACAACTATGTCTCAGTCTCGAACAAGTTGGGGTCGGCTATATCAGTCCTCACGGCGCCAATATTATACAAAATAAAAATAAAAAGTAGTATTAGTACGTTATTGTTCTCTACTGGCATATAAATCAATGATAGGGCTAAAGACCGCTAGAAAGCGTAGGACTTAGAGTAAATGTACTAACATGGCTAAAACATATTTCCAACTAATTGGTATCGCGTATATACATCTTTTTCTTTCATTGCGCCCTATCTGTAACTGTCTGCTTGGTAAAATACAAAAATTATATGTTATTGCATAGAGTATTTGGAAAATTTTGGAGTTTGATGGGTTTAGATAAAGTTTGAGCATAGTGGAAAAATTTCTGCTAATGGTTTGGTTTTTCAGGTATGAGCCACTGATCCTGATCCTTTCCATAGTACTTTAAATTGTTTGTTGGATGCTTATAAAAACAAAGTTGACGAAGTTTAGATTTAGATTTTTCAGGGATAAATTTTGTTTCATCTTCGAATTGCTAGGTTGTCCTAACTGATGTTTATCCCTTCATATATTCTCATGTTGTCCTCATATTCATGGACTTTTTGATATGTAACAGACCTCGGAGTTGAAAGAGGCATCCGACTGGAGGGCTTGACAGAGGAGCAGATCTCAAAGGCACTTGAGGACCTCGTGAAAGTAGGGGCATCCCTTAAATCTTGATGACTTTAAAACTGTAAAATAGTCCGACTATCCACAGCATAGTGCTTTTGAAATAATTTTAGTTGACTCGTCATTGTGAGTCAATTATAATATGCATTTACATTTACCAACCTTGTCATCGTTGCTGTTCAAACTCCAAAAATCATAATATGCATAAACATGCAGCTTCAGATATTTGGATTTTGTATACTTTGGTTTTGCTATTTGGAAAGCCAATATTTGAATTCTCTGCTATTAACATTAGAAGTTTAATGTCATTTCCTCTGCTGTTGTGTCACTGTTTGCTGTCCATGATTTGTTAACTCTTACACCAGAAATTCATGGTGTTGCATATAAACATAGCATATCAGCAAATGGTCAGGGGTTCGAGCCGTGGAAACAGCCTCTTGCAGAAATGCAGGGAAAGGCTGTGTATAATAGACCCTTGTGGTCCGGCCCTTCCACAGACCCCGCGCATAGCCGGAACTTAGTGCACCGGGCTGCCCTTTTATATCAGCAAATGGATAGGTGCTAGCAATATATACACACTTGCTTCCTTGGCCAAGGCAATTTCTAATATACTGTGTGTAACCGTTATCTTTAGGTACGGTGCAAATAAATTTTCTTCTTGGCAAATGAATTGATCTTTGTTCTTGTCATTTCCAGAAGCTAAATGTTAATATCAGTCTGAGTTTAAGAATGTTGACATGGAAGAAATGTTTGTTCCCTTATTTAAGAGAGAGGATTGTATGAACTATTGATATATGAGCTCTGTGTTTAATCCCCTGTTCCTCTGTGTTTTAGAGTTTTATTGAAGCTGGGGGATAATAGGATATAGGAATGCAGGCAAGTGAGCTATGTCCAGTTTGTATGTCAAATTCCTGAGATATAGAGCTATGTCTAGTTTGTGATTTCTAGCCGAGGGTCTACCGGAAATAGCCTCTTTGCCTTCCTTGAGTAGGGGTAAGTTCTGCGTACACATTATCCTCCCCAGACTCCACTTGTAGGAATTTACTGGGCTTGTTGTTGTTGATAGTTTTGGAGCTCCTGCTGGTTCGGCTTCTTCTGTAATGAGCCTTTTCTTCTAAATTTATATAGAGATGGTGTCCTAGCCAGTTTTGCATGCCTCGACTATTCCATACTTCTCTCTAGCATGAGTACGGGGTAACTCTTGTCTGTCTCCACGAGATTTTGAATCCCCGACTTCAAAGTTTCACCCACTTCATTGATGCTAGGCCCCACCTTTGAAAGCTTCTTAATTACACTAGTGACTTAGGACCCGTTTGGCCATAAATTTTGCCAAAATATATTTGGGATTTTTTTGGCAAATACATGTTTGGCCATGGATTTTATCTACATTTTGGCAAATTCCCAAGAGCTGGTTTTGGCCCAAAATATCACTATTACATTTTTAAAAAATTGCCCTAAACTTTTGTATTTTATAAAAGAGCCCACCATTTGTTATTTTGTAACAATGTTGCTTCGTCTTCTCGGTCATCTGATAGTGTATTAAGTAGTTCATTATAAAAATGATAATTTTGTATCAAATTTATTTATGTTCAGGACTATGGTTTGCGATAATATAATGAATGTTATTGATAAAGGTATTGTTGGGTATTTGTGATAGTTTTTAGAACTTGTAGGTATAAGTCATGTTTCATGTCTTTTCAAAACAAAAAAAAAGTGAAATGTGTTTTGAAAACTTATGTCCAAACACATTTTCATCTTCACCAAATTTCACTCAAATCAGATTTTTCAAAACAAATTTGGGAATCTATGGCCAAACGCTAGCTTAAACTAAAGATATGTGAGCACTGAGCCCTAATTTGCTGATGGTTTGAGGTGCTGGTTCTGGAGTTCATAAGTGACCCTCAGCCAAATTGAAAGAACTATCAAGATTGTAGGAGAAATTAGTGAATAATGAAAAGGAAAGAACAAGAAATACTCCAACCTTGCTTACCTAGGCATACTCCAAAATCCAAATGATGCTATTCCTATCATTTTTAACCAAATGCATTTTTATGAGTAATGAATTAACAAAGAATATAATGGCTATAATTAATAATACTAACAAATATTAGAGATTTTAACAAAATAATTTTGTGTTTAAACTATATGTACTTGTAGAAAAAACAAATTTAACCAAATAATGTACATAAAATGATTCAACAAATAAGTTAGTCTGAACATAAAATTTGACATTTATGTGATTGCGGTTCATTAAATGTGTAACAAGAACAAGTATAAATAGATTTAGAGGAAATAATTGACATCCGAAGGAAAACAGGAGAAATTCAAAAATAGTAAGATTTACAAGTGGCCATTCAAAAATAGCCACAGATTCAAAAGTAATCAAAATTTAGTCACTTTTATGTAAAGATAAATCTGAACGAAAACACTGTAAAACCGGAAAAGTACTCCAATATAATATACTGGAGTTACAGTATAATATACCAGTCCAACATAATATACTGGAACTTTCCGCGTGTTGGAGTTCCAGCATAATATGCTGGAAGTTCATACACAGGTGGACCGATCTCCAGTATATTATGCTGGAAGTTCATATACAGGTGCACCAATCTCCAGTATATTATGCTGGAACTTTCCGTGTTGCAGCAAAATAGTGGCTATTTTTCAATGACTTTGCAAACGCTGGCTATTTTGAATGACCAGTACGAAAACTGGCTAGCCCGTGCTATTTTTACAAGTAAAACTGCGGTTGTCAAGAGAACAATTCATTTGAAATTGAAACACTGTTTTTCTCATTTTTAATTTCTTCTTGCATTTCTTTTGTTCTTGCAATTAGTGGTTCATTTTATAGGCCTTATCATATTTGCAGGTCAACTGTTTCATTTCATATCAGACAATGGACAGGATAAAGTATTTTTAAAATTATTATTATTATTATAACGATTTAATCAACACCAATCACCGGGATAAGTTAGTACATGGAATGGCGTTATGTCAATATATATAAAGTTCTTATTTAGAGCCCTAACCCTGGCGATTCGCCCCTTCCCTTGTGAAAATATGAAGAAAAAAAACTAGTAAACACTAGACATAACAGAGAGAAAATTACAATAAACAAAGAAAATTGAAATTAATCACAATACAGAAAGTATTGGTCGTTACTTGAACTATATAGTGACGAGTGAATAAGCATTATTATTTTTTAAAATACTTCTCGCACGAAATAAATGTATCTCCAGATTGATGGAGATTTAGTCATTGAGACTTGAGAGCTAGATACTTAGATTAATTTCATTTGATTGCTAGTCTATTAATTAATGTAAATAATACATCAAATTAAGAACGATACTTGAGACCAAGGAAAAGAAAACCATGTGCATGCATTTATATTTGGAGTACATCAAGAAAGATGCTATTAGAGATAACAAAGTGGAAAAGAAAATCCCTCTAGACCAAAAATACAAATATATCTCGAAATAAATAGTCTTGAATCTTGAGCCGAGTGTTTTAATTTGCCAAAGGATGGGTAGTTGCCCAAAGAAAGTAATCACTTGATCATGATATATATTTTACACCAAAGAAGAAAAATCATCAGAATCTTCATCATCAGTGTGTTCTTCCATTGTTGAAGAAAACTGAAGAATTGAGGAAAAGAAGAAGAGTGATGTTAAAAGAGAGAGAATTAGGATTAATGGTAGGGAGGTTAATTTAACATTAGAAAAAGGTTGGTGGAAGGAGGATCTTCTAAGCATATGCTTCAACCATTAACTTGTCTTTCCACATTTTTTTTTCTTTTATTTTTCTAATTTATATGCTTATAATTAAAGCTGCAATCCAATCAAAGTTTTTGGTTGTATATTCCATGCTTTGTCACCACAAACTTCTGTTCTAAATATTCCATTTCTCTTGTTTAATTTTATATTCATAATGCTTAATGCCCCACCTTTATTTTCTTTTGTATTTCTTCTATGCTTTTTGTTTCGGTCATCTCTAGTCCAACTACTACTACTGCGCGCTTAGCTATGCATTGGTTAATTTCTTGTCCTTTTGTTTTATTACATGATACTAAACTGATTTCTTTCCTTTTCTATTATGTTGTAATTAATTCTGAAAACTAAGAAAATTGCAGTAATTGAAAGAGGAACAGCTAAGAAGAAGCAGAAAATAGTTAGGTTTTATTTCACGAAGAAGCAAATGAGAGCTCAAACTCTATACAAATACTGATATGCGTAACTAGGGACTAGGACGCAAAGTGTCCAAATAGAAAAATATAGAAGAGTGAATGTGTATATAACACTTCTTACACTCAAAAAGCAACTGGACTTAACTGTATGTACTGCTCTCGCTGTCTCGCATGCCATTTAATACCCCTTTCAATCTGGCTCACATCAGTGCCCCGCCATTAAGAACTTCCATGTCCCCAAGTAAGGAACAAAGGAAACCGAACTCTCAAAGCATTGACATCTTCCCAGGTAGCCTGAGCTTCATCAAGGTGTTCCCATTGGATGAGTAGTTGAACAACAGCTTTGTTACCCTTTTGAACCATTCTCCTGTCTAAAATCTTGACTGGTTTTGGTCAATATGGACTCGAAATGTTCAACACTAGTGGATGCGAGATTTGAGCTGGAACTGCATAGCATGGTTTGAGTAGTGAAACATGAAAAGTAGGGTGAAGGAGCAAGTCAGCTGCTGGTAAGGATAATTTGTAGGCAACATGTCCCACTTTCTGGATAACCATGTAAGGACCATAGTACTTAGAAGATAGCTTGCTGAAGTGATGAGCAGCCCTAGTCACCCGTCTATAAGGCCAAATTTTCAGATACGCCCAATCTCCCACACTAAATTGACTATCAGATCTTCTCTTATTGGCTTGCATTTCCATTCTCTGTTGTGATCTGGCAAGATGGTATTTAAGCAATTACAACTTGAATTCCCTAGTCACCATGCTCATATCTACTTCGGATAGCTCTGAATCCCCGGCAACATATGGCAAGTGTAAAGGAGGTGGCTAACCATAAAGGGCTTCATATGGAGTGGTTTAAGTGGAAGTGTGAAAGGTGGTGTTATACCACCATTCGGCATAAGAAAGGAATTGGCCCCAATCAGAAGGTGAATCAGAAAAGTAGCACCTGGGATAAATTTCAAGACATCTATTGATAACTTTAGTTGCCCATCGGATTGAGGATGATAGGCAGTGGAAGTATTCAATGTAACCCCTTGAATAGCAAATAACTCCTGTCAAAGTCTACTTGTAAACACAGGATCTCTGTCACTAACAATATCTGCTGGCATACGATGCAATTTGAAA